CCGGGGGGTACAAATCAAATTTTTATCATGTGAATTGTAAGATACCCGGGTACCTTATACGGCGTTTTACGGTAATACAGTTGATGATCACCTGTGGTGTAAATTAGCAAATTCCAATAATTCTAGAAAACTTATTAGAATTAAAGTTAATATTGATTTTTTTACAAATTTTTTAAAATATAGTTTTTGATAAACTGTTTAAAATTCTGATCGTATTTTTAACGTTCTAAACTTAATATTATCTAATAATAGGGATATATATATATTTTCCCGATTTAATTGTTATATAAAGTCCATGTTTTCAAAATTTTGAACGCGGCTCATATACTAATCTCAGATACAACACATTTTTTGCATTTAATGTTTTTAGTTAGGTATATACTATTTATTTCGCAAAATTTGATGCTAAAAACTTGGTTGATCAGATTAAAATATAATCGGTAATGTATTAAGTGTTTGTAACTGACAGTAACAATAATTGAATTTCGTTTAGTTGGGTTAGAGTAGGACATAATATACAGTAAAATTTGTGAGTATTTTTTAAACACGAATGTTAGTTTCGTGCATAATTTTTATCATCATGCAATCTGATTGACTTGGCGCCAGTGACACATAAATTTACTCTAAATTGTTTTTATCATTGTCAATATAATAAATTACAACTTTTAAGTAAATACTTTATTTTTAAATAAATATATATATTATATATAATATAGCATTTTGTCTTTAAAACTCTTAATTATACAAATTATATATATATATAATAATAACTCTATATATATAATAATTCTAATTGTATATTTTAAGTGCTAAAATAAAGTAAATTAAAGTATATATGATTTGCTAATGATAAAAAGCTTAAAAGGCAATTTGATTAGATTTTTACATGGGTGTAAATAGAAATCACAAAATCAGGCTATTGATTAAGCAAACGTATGTAATTGATCAATCATATAATTACGAGACGCCTGTTATTAAAAAAGACTGCTTACTCATAGTTCTTATTTATATTTAATGTCTGCAGATTTTGGTCTTTCAATCCTTCATTCTTAACGCCAATTAAATCAATCTTTTTTCATTAAAAAATCATTCTAACAAGATAATTTTATCTCTATCCCTTATAAACCTCACTATATATGCATTATCGTAGATGTGTTTTGTAAAAAAAAAAAAAAAAAAAAAAAAAAAAAAAAAGGGTGAAAAAAAAAGTGAAAGAGTGTACAAAATACATAATTATGTATACACCATAGAAATGAGAATGCTTCAACCAATAAATGCTTTATACATATAATTGTATAATAGAACCGGACTTTGATTTGTGCCGACAACTTGGACATGCAGTTTTTTCTTTCTTTTTTTCCAAGAATTTGTCCACGCAACCTCCACAAATAACATGCCCGCAGTTTAACGCCCATAATTTTTCACTAAGAATGCCGTTACAATCTACACAAATTAAAGTACATGAATCTTCAAGATTCCTTGTGTGACCTGCTAATGACGGCTTTGAAATATTATTATCCCGGCGCGAGGTGGACGTAGGTGGTGTACTCAGGATCTGAAGATCGTTAGCATTAATCGTAGTGGAGGTTGCATTTTCAGTTTGAAAAATGGGAGGGAATGTCCGAGAAGTGCCTGTAGCATTATCATGGGAATGTAGACGATCATGTTGAGAAGGAGCGATGGTTATTTCGTCTGCATAGAGCACAGGATGGAATGCCGATGCATGCTGTCGGTGATGACGATATGAGAATTGAAGATTTGAGTTTGTTCCCTGAACAGATTGAATAGTAGTGACATTTACTATCGCTAAACCTATTAAAATTTGGACTATTTAATCTAACGTATTGAATATTATATCGTTTGTTTATTCAATTTTTTGAAGACTCTACTGCTACAACATGTGAGATTTAAGACAAACCTCGCCACGGAGATCCAGAACTTTGTAATCGATTAGAGCGAACGGGACTAGAACGATTAGGATTCGAACGAACAGCATTGGTTCTAGCTCGAATTGGACCACCTCCGTTTCTGATCGAAGGGTTTTGTACATTACCAGACGAAATCGCTCCAGGTGTATTGTATAAACTTTGACTACCAAATGTATTTTGGTTCATATTATTTCGAGAGTAGGAATTGTTATGGTCAGAACCATGTGACGGGACAACGTCATCCTCAGTGTCACTATCTATAATTACAATGTCAACCGTAGAAGTGGTTCCGGACCTTGTTTGTCTAACGCGAGAATACATATCAATAGGTGAAGTTGGTGTTGTCAAATTACAATAAGTACGAGAAAAAGCGGACGGACTGGACATCTTAAAAGAAAATGCTTTTTATGGATTTGTAAATATTATGACCCATCGTATTGTGCAACTTTGTCGATCCAAACTAAAATGTTTCAGGCAACTTTGGTCCATTTCTAATCTTATCTGATCATAAAAAAAAAAAATTATTCTCTAGTTTACTTACTGCAATAATGTAAGGTTCTGGAAAGTACGATCAAACCTCTATATAAGGGGTTTTTTCCTGCAAATTTTTCGTTCTTAGGAAGGTGTAAATGCCATGTCTTGATCTAATTGACCTTTGCTGGATTAAATACTGTTATAATGATCTAACTGCAACCGATCGAGATCAAGCCCATTCTATTTTGTCATAAACACTATATTTCAAGTTGAACTGCACCTATTTCTCTCATATCGATGCGACCTTTATTATGTTAAAAAAAAAACGAAAATGGGAGAATAGCCCCTTGGCGGATTCGAACCACCGATCTTCGCTTTACGAGAGCGAAACCTTAACCACTGGGCCAAAGGGGCAATTATAACTAAATTGCTTTAAATAATTTTTTTATTTATTTAATAACATTTATTAAATTACTTTTTATAGAAAATAAAATATCTTGTATACTATTTAGCACTGCTATCGTTATAGTATTCCTCATGATTAAGGTCAAGTACTATTTGTTATACTATCGCTATCAGACTAATTCTTAAATAATCACCCGGGGGTATATTAATATGGCTATTTTTCATATACCACATATTACCGAAAAAATAAACTTCCCAGATTTTGGAACCAAAATTTGACGAAAGTTGATATGTTTTACTAATAAAAACAAATAGAGATATTGATCAGATAGTTAAATAAATACAAGATTTATGCATCAAATCAAAGTATCAATAATTATTTAGTGGCTATATAGAAGAAGAATTGAAAACTATGATATAAGAAGTCTTTATACAATCTCAAACAAGCACTCAAAACAATAAATCTATAAAAGACAAAAAAAATAATAAAAAAAGTATAATAATAGGAGGAAAGAAAATTAAAAAAGACAAAGACTTACCAATTGATAGCATCCTGAAAGATATAATTATATAATAACAAAAAGGTCATAAGAACAATAAATTTCATATAAATAATATTCAAATAAAAGAGAATAGATAGCCAATATTTACAGCTATTTTAGAATAAAGTATTTGGGTATTAAAGAATAGAACATATAAGAAAGGACAATTATTTTTAACAAATATACTAATATACAATCTTTCAAAAAACTCTGCAAAAAAAGAGCTGGTTATATAAAAAGAATTCTTAGTAAAAATAAATATATTAAAAAAGTTGAAGAGAATTTAAAAATAGAAATCTTTAGATAGAAGTAGTTTTTTGATTGTAATTATAAAAAAACTCAGTAATTAACAAAATTAAGAAAAAAGAAGATGACTAGCTAATTTTAATCTCAGATACTTTACAGAAACTAGCTAAAAATTTTCAATGGAGTTAAGATGATTTTAAAGATATTAATTCAATAAATTTATGCT